GCAATAGACGGCAACAGTTGCAGCAGCAACAAAAAGAACAACAACAACATCAACAACAGCAAAGGGGAGCAACAGGCAGCCGGCGCAATTGTTGCCATGGACCATTGCAGCGGCGCATTAAACTGATAGTATAATATAAATTGTATACAAATACATACACACACACTGATACATTCGAGAGCGGGTATATAGCAAAAACTGGAGCAACATGCAACAGGCTTGCAAAATGCCAGCCCAAAAGTATGCAGCACACAGACTAAACAACTAAAACTAAACCAATTCATGCGCTCATGCTCATTCATTCATTGAATTCGGAAATTCAATTTGGTCAGAAAGAGAGGCAACAGGATGTGTTGTGTGCGGCAGAAGCAAGAGAGACGGAGAGGGAGGGAGAACGAGCACACGCGACGCTTGTTAACTGCACAACGATGTGCAGTCAACGCGGCCGGCGGAGAGGCAGTGTATTTGGAAGTGGGAAGACTGGCGAGACTGCCAGACGGCCAGACTGCCAGGCTTTGGAGGCAGGCAGAGCGATGGCGGAGCATGAAAATTTTATTCATGGATTTAGTTGAATTTACAATGAATGGGTTTTAGTTAAGTTGCACAGACTGTGCGAATGTTTGTTGTACTCGTACTTGTTGTTGTTGTTGTTGTTGTTGCTTGGATGCTGTGTTTCTGGTGTTATTCGTTGAACGTTTTGGCACTAAATAGCACAAAACAGCAAATGCCATGAAAAAGAGCAGATGATGACATAACTGCTGCAACAACAACTACAACAATGACAACAACAATAATGTCTGACAACGTAAGCATTTCAATTTAAATTCAGCAGAATGGAATGAAGCCAGCAATAAGAAGTGTGGTTTGTGACGGGGAGGTATGGGAAAGGAAAGGGGAAGTGAAGTGGAATTTGGCTGCAGCATCAAATCAACAAGTGGTAGTAGTAAACTATTTTCATGAGCGCATATTTAAATTTCACACACACATACACAGACTAACTCTCCCACATTTCTGTTGCTGTTGCTGTTGGGCTGTGCTGTCACCATCAAGCAAAGGAGTTAATGCTGTTGTGGCCTGTTTGCCTGGCACTCAACAGTTGTGTTGAAGTCGCTGCCACCGATGCTTACATGAATGGCACCAACAAGTGAGCGATTAAAGAGAATAAGTGAATCAAGTCACAGCATCCAAGACACATACACACACATATCTTATGTATGTATATGCAGAACAAGTGAGCAGCGAAGTAAGTTAGACATCGCGTCGCCCAAACAGTTAGTCAGACATTTGAGCAGCCAGACAGTAAAAGCAAAGAGATAACATATACCCACATCGATTTTTCTTTTCGAGCTGTATAAGAATACTATATATGTACACATATCTATGTACATATAATATATATTATATATATATAACATATATATTATATGTTATCTCAAATTTAAATTTACATATAAATACAAATTTAACTTTTAAATATTGTGTCATAAATTAAAAAATATAACAAATAAGAATACGATTAAAATAAATGTATGTATTTTGATAAAATTATATGATATGTTTTGTTAGGGTATATTGATATCGATCTACATATTTACTGACTAGCGTACTAACTTAAAAGTAACCTAATACTCGTAACGCTAGGATAGAGATTAAACAAAACAAATAAATAAATAAATAGACAGGCTGGTGTAAAACAGATTTTAGGAGCAATAGTTTTTAATCATTAAGTGTTAAAGGAATCACTTTTATTGGGACTTATGTATATTCAGAATTCTTAACTGATAATTCCACTCGACGATTAAATGTAATTGAAACATTTAAATAAAAAAGTATTTTCTCAGTTTAAAGGAACATCTCAACTGATATTATCCTTTTAGGTACAATAACATTAACTAAAAAATGGACAAGATCAGATTCCACAACTTAATCTGTTAAACAACTCCTAATAGACTTAACTAACTCCATACGAACAACACTATTGTGAACACGGCACCACGTAAAAGTGATCCAATTTCATGTAACTTGTTAAGCACTTCACTAATAGCTGGCGTGCAACTTCAAATGTGTGCCGTTTGCCACTTTAGCTACATTTTCGGGGAAAGCTAAACAGCAGCCAAAAATTCACCACAGAAGCACTTAATATGCGAGTGGGAAACCAATTAGGGCCACTTAAGTGCGCACTTCAAATGCATGCAGCCATATTCTGGCCACGGGCAGAGGCCGCACGCCACTTGGGCAACAACGTTAGTGTATTGCAACGTCCAGCAGCAGGCGCAGACATGTCTGGCTAGCCAAAAAAGTGACATATACATACATACCAGCAACAGCAAAAGCAAAAGGGACCCTTGGCATACTCACACAGTTGGCCACATGGTGTACTCACTCATAAAATGATTACCATATGAATGCCAAGAGCAGCTTCCAGCGTTACGTATACGCAATGTTAACAAGTGTGCGAAACAAACGTGAAGTGCTCACCAGGAACGGGTGGGGACCCTTCACAAAATGTAGCCGGAGCGTCAACAGGCAGCAACAACACCAAAAAAAGGCCAAAAAATAAAATTCCACAAAAAAGTGTTGAGAGAGAGTGATGCAACTAATTGCTGCAACTTCAGGCATCAACTCCATCAGTGGCACCAACGAGCGTGACTGCTGCATAGCCAGTGGCACTCAAACACACGCCCATACACACACCCACACCCAGAACCACAACCACGCCCAATCCAACTTCCACAGACAACATACGCCCAATACAATGAAAGGATAATTGCGCGGATTGCACACGGATCGCCTTAATCCTTTTAGGCGCGCATGGGCAAGTGTTGCAGTTTTGCCAGTCAGCCGCAACTCGCGGGCTCGAACACGAAAAAAGCGAGAATTAAGCAAACAACACACGGACGCGTAGGCTCCGTTTTTTTAACGTTTTTTTTGCATTTTGGCGTTGCATGCCCCATCCACTTGATTGCATTGCAGGCGAGGATGATGACGGCTGCCATGCAGGAAAAAACTCAATTCATGGCTGCTGCGCCACCAGCTGCCAATTTTTTTTATCGCGGCTGCTGTTTGCATGGCCAGATATAGAGGCATCAACAACATCTTGTTGCTGTGTGTTATCCTCTCCTGTCAGACACACACCCACACATAAGCGCGCATTCACATTTGGCCCCACTTTTGGTTGGCTACACTCTTTGGTTGCAAGTGCCAAAATCTGGCGGCTATTATTGTCTGTGATTTGTGTGCGGAAGTTAAAGCGAGAAGGACGTGATGCTGTTTTGTATTCTTCCCAGAATGTTATTGATATATAATACATAGTTGTCGAATGTCGAGACAGCGAGAATGGTTCGACTAAATGAAATCATAGGTTTTAGAAAAATAGTGGATCTGATCTGAAAGGCGCTGATGTAAGTTAATAGATTGATCAATTAATAGCAGGGACCGTAAATAATGATTATTTTATGTTTTTATGCAAAAAATCACGTATAGTAGCTTTGAAATGACGAGGATTATACCAATATCATTATTTTAGGATTATCTTTTTCGTTCTTTTAAAATACTAGAATGATTAAATATTGTATACAAAATTACAACTTGAGTTTTATATTTCATTAAAAAAAATAAAATTTAAAGAGCAATCATTATTTTTGAGTTTTATTTTTTGCCCAAAAATAATGATTTTTGGTTGAGTTGTAACGTATAACTCAAAATTAATCTTTAAATTGAAAGATAATGATTATGATTTTTATTATGATTATTATAACAGTCCCTGATTTTTAGCTTGTTCTTTGAAATTAGTTACCAATTTATTTATTTAAATACCTAAACTTATAGCTTTTTTGCAGTTAAATAAAAATAAATGCAAATAAAAACTAACAAATGTGACGCATGATATTCAGAAGTCATGCATAAGGAAAATCAGATCGACTTGACATTATCCCATGTTTCTGATAATATCTTTATCGACATGAACACAAATAACTTCACCGCCGTTTAGAAGATTTAAAAAAAACATAGCGTGGAGAAACCCTTATTTAAAATTAAATGTAAAAGCAAGAAAGGAATGCTCAAGTCGAGCAGACTCAACTCTTAAATACCCTGTACCACCCCATAAAAAAAGAAATTAAGTTAATTAAATCAATTAATTAATTTAATTTAATTTAATATAATTAATTAACTAAATTAAATATAAAATATTCCATACATGCATGCATACATTTACATCAGAATCGTACCTATGCGTGTTTGTGTACTTGTACATATGTATGTATGTGTGCATTGGGGCTGGTTATATGGCTATAACTTTCTTTCTGATCAACCTATCATAATGTGGTAACTTGGTATACGGATATATAATTACTAACTGGATGTGTCTACCAAATTTTAGTTCAAAATTCCAAGAATTACGGTAGTTATAGAAAATTTAAAATAGGGGGGAGTGGGGTGGGTGTATCGGGAAAAATGAACAACCTCGTCCTTTCTCGGGCTCAGGAGAATCTGAATAACAAGTGTGGTTATTCTAGCTCTTATACTTTCTGAGATCCTTGTGTTCATACAGACAGACGGACAGACAGACAGGCAGACAGACAGACAGACAGACGGACATGGCTATATCGACTCGGCTTGTCATGCTGATCAAGAATATATATACTTTGTGGGGTCTACCACGCCTCCTTCTGTGTGTTCCATGTAGACTCGCACCAAACTAATATACTCTTGTAGGGTACAAGGGTAAAGGGTATACAAATTATTTGATTATAAAAACGAAGATATAAATACAATCAGAAACAAACATACAAGTATATGAGTTTCAAATTTTTACTTGTCCACTGATCAAGTCTTAAATATTTAAGCATTATGGGGTTAAGTTTATCAAAAATGTCCGAGCATTTGTCACAGTTTCGGCGCATTTTGCACATGTTATAAAGAAGCTACGGGGCAGTTATATTGTATTTTTCAGCTGTTCTTTGCAGTCAGTTATATTATTTTCTAAAAGCTGCTTTATTATGGGAAGGCGGAAGTCAAAACGAAAGCCTCCACCAAAGAAGAAGCTCACTGAGCCTTTGGCCGAACAATTTAATTGTCCTTTTTGTAGTTACAATAGCTCCTGTGAAGTAAAAATGGACAAAAGGCGAAACTTGGCAAAAATTACATGTCGCGTTTGCCAAGAAGATTTCAAAACAATAATTCATTATCTCTCTGAGCCCATTGATGTGTATAATGATTGGATTGATATGTGCGAGGCAAAAAATTAATATCACAAACAAAAATTTTAACGAAATGGGTAAAGCCATTTAAGAAAACGAATATATTGTTAATTTTAAAAGTAAAGTTAAGTATTTTTTATGCATTTTAATTTAAAATGAACAACATTGACTATTTCTAACAAATTTGCACAACATTTATAATAAAAGAACAGCATTGAAGATTCTTCAAAAATAATTAAAACAAATTTAAATGATAGAATTGAAAGAAACCTACTTGTATACATGTCCAATATTATAGAGAACTAAATCATAAAAATGAGAGAGTCTTTTATAAGTTAATTTAATATTATATTTAATTTTGATTCATGACTGTTGCTTTTAAATGGCTCAAGCAACTTTTCTAATGTATGATGGATCTAGGTAATGTGTTTAATAATGTGAAACCCAACTAGAACATCATATACCAAAAATACGTAGCAAACACAAACGATCGACATAAGCTTTCATTTTACCCCGAATTCAAGACAAATGGTTCACAAGGTTTTAACTTTTTGTAGCGGAACTACGATTGTTAGAATAAAACTTTACAATGGTAGTTGTGCTCGATAGCGTTGTAGATCTTTAATATTCATATATTTAATATTAATGTATTTTGCTTCTTTTTTTGTTGTCTTACAAAGCTGAATATAATATTTTACACCTTAATTCCTTTTCTATTTGTAGCCTGACCAGGTTGCTCAGGAACGAAGCAGTCTTCTATATATGAAAGATTTTTCAACACTCATGCTATCTACTATTTATTATAGATTTTTTCAATACTCACACTAACAATATACACAAGCGTGCACATGTATAGAATCAAGCAAATCAAGTCGCAAAAATTATTCATTAATTTAAATTGAAAGCCACATAAATACATGGCGATATTTGGTCTATAGTTACATAATATATAACGTATACGAATACAACACTTTCTGTCTATCAAAGCCAACTTTGTATGTAAGCGGCATTCATTTTCATTTCTCCGCCGCTCGATCGTGAAGTAGAAGGCGAGAATTGCGTTAATTTTCAATCACTTAAGAATGCATTTGTTGTCACTTCCAATGAAAGCTTTTTGCTGTGTTATATATATACATACAAGTATTATTCTTCTTATTGCCCGATTTGCTGTTACAACTCATACACATTGTATAGTATGTGGCAGTAAATGCCTAAGCAACGAATTGCACGAAAGCCACACAAAAATAAAGAAAAATCAAAGGTAAACCTTGAATCAATTGATAGAAAAACGCAAAATTTATACGAGTACTATATATGAGTAAGTATGTTTATTTGCTGCATTATTCTCGCATAAAATGTACCCAGCTTCGCATGCGAAAAATAAAAAATATTTTGCCAACCCCCTCCCTTGGCCCCGCCTTCGCCAGCCAACAAAATTAGAATTGAACTTGCTGCGCCATATTCGGTTACAACTTGAGCGCTTAATTCCGCATACGTAAGACGGGGGTAGCGGGCGGCGACTCGTGTCTGGGTGTGGTGGCGGGGCTTGGCGACGTGTCTCTTGTTTTTTTTTTAATTTTATTATTTTATTTATTGTCTCTGGTCTTGCTAGTAAAATTCTAGCTAAATATTTAATTTATTTACACTGGCTGCAAATAATGATTGTAAATGAATCTCGTTTCCTACTCTGACTGTTGCCTGAATGTCTCGACTTTGGGTATAAACCAAAAATTGTTAAGTACTTTGCTTATTAATGCAAGCCGATTAATTTATGGCTAATTGGTGTGTTGCATTGAAGCTTCATGTTCACATTTATAGGCTGTTGGCTGGGTACTGTGTCAATTCATTTGAAAATTGTATGGAAAATGAGTAAGGAATTAATTTGCCGTGGTAATGGGTAAGAGAAATGTCGCTTCAATTAAATTACGTTTAAAACAATGTAAGGATGTCTTTCCGTATCATTAATTGTTGCAATACAAGTAGTAAGAAATAAAGTAATCATGTTTTCGTTTAGAATTTTCAACCACAATGTGTTGTTTTGGTTAATAACTATAAAGGTCAGACGAATAAGAAACTTAAAGATCATAAAATAAAGAATCAACACTCATATCAACAAGTTTGATACATGACATAAATACTCAATCGAAATTCTTAATTGCTGTCTGCTTATACGAAATAATTTCAAATTACTGATGCAAAAAGTACGACAATTACAATACTATCCACTGCATACTCTGTGGAGAACTATAGAGTTCGATAGTGAAATAAATGTTCGAAATTGAAATTATTTATTAATTACAAAAGAATTTCATACTCAATTGCAGGTTATTATTTGAAGAAATCAGTACTAAAAATTAATATGTGGGTGTATGTCGAACCCACATGCTATATAGTACCTTTTAAGTTATCTTTCTTTGAATAAAGTGCAGCTTTTTGTAGCTTTTATTATTGTTAGATTGGTAATTAAAAATTCTACCTAACATTATATTGCTTATCAAACTAGTTAGATAATGATCGTTAATTGTATTATCAATTTTGATATTTAGAATAAAGTGTTTCATCTTTAATTTCAAAACATAGTCGTGCAGGGCGATTGATTTTCCCTCTCGGCCCATATCAATTCTGATATCCGACATATGTACACACAAGCATATATAGTACATAGTATCCAATAATTGGCAATTGGATTGCATTTCGTTGCCATTTTTCATGCTTGTAATTCGACTTCTATTGATCTTGAACTTAGCGCTGTGCCTCGTTTTTTATTAAAATGGAAGCGAAAAGTACAAGAACGACATGGAAAAATATCAAGCAATAAAAAAATACATCAAAGCGTACAAAATTAACGAATATGGTGCAAAGCATAGTGTGTGTAATATGGAATTACAGTTGCTGTTATAATTTGCATGTCCACAGATGCACATACAAGTATATAGATATATAAGTATACATACTCGTATATATGGGGAACTGCAAGTATGTGAACCTAGGCATGCATGAAAGTCAATTGGGTGTGTGAGCTGCCGCTGCCTCTGCCTCTGCCGCTGCTGTTGCCGCTTGCCGCACTCTTTGCGGCACTTGGCCAGCCATTTTTTATGGCAGTTATTTTGGTTATAAGCAATTTATTGGGCTTATTAATGGAGACCTACAATTTTATGATCGCTGCTGAGCATACTCGTACTATTTATGGATTAGCGCTTATGCAGATGCACTATGCAGCCTAATCTACACCAAAAAGAAAAACGTGTTTTTTAAACAGAGATGTTAAATCGATATGCGAGTAATCTGCTAAATAGTTGGTTGGTAATATTTAACATGGACACATAATCTTGATTTCCTCATTTTTTAAATACTGTAGAAGTCGAATGCTCACCTTTTCAATTGCTTGCAGAATAGAGAAATAATCTTTTCAAATTTTTTTTTGTAGTTCGCGCTGTTTTTTTAATACTTTCTTATAATTTGTTTCTCTTATTTTCTACACATATTTTTATTTTTTTAATAAGCTTTTAACTAATTCTAAGCTCCCTTTATCTGCTAAGTTTTTCGTTGCAAGTCGGGGCAAATAATGTTTCTCCACCGAGACGGAGGTGTTTATTAGATATTATTGTAATTTCAATAGAATTATACATATGGCCATAAAGGCTTTTTTATAACTTTTATACTGTTTCCTTATGGCGACAGTCCTGGTTTGCTTATATAAAAAAATAATAAATAAAATAAATAATAATAATAAATAAAATTATGGCGAACAGTGAAGATATTGATTTGAATTAAGGCATTTGCATGTCTATGTTTATACAGTAATTTGATTAATTTATATTTTATAAGTTAATTAATTAATTAATTGTTATTTATATTTAATTTTTTTAAAACTCGGTTTCGTAAATTTCACTTCCTGTCGAAGCCTACTACTATAAACTATAAAGCCCTTCCCCAGAGTCATCTATCTCTTTCCTTCCCTGATCATCTGACATATCACACACACAGACACACACATTCGCATCTAAGATTTTGTCTTTGTATTTTTGCTTATTTGGTTACTCAAGCTCTTTCCAAAGCTTGTTACTAAGCCGTCGACTACTTTTGGCATAAATTCTTTCCCTCTCCTTCTATCTACTGTTGTGGTTTTTACAAGCGCACACTAAACATATACTATATGTATATATGTAGGTATAAGTATATGCATGTATGTATATATGTACGTGTCTTTCACGTTACATTTTGTGTATTTGTTTGGCTGTTGTTTGTGCGCCTATTTTTCGTCGCTTATTGACGTTTCTACTTATTTAGTGTATTTTGCGCATTTTCATGAATGTTTTTCAATTCTCTAATTCTTTTTGCAAAACTTGTTTTCAGAGCTGTTTGTCTTGGCAGTGAGTCGAATTGTGTGTGTGTTTTTGTGTGTGTGTGTGTGTGTGTGTCCGTTTGGCTTTGTTGCTCATTTTCATTAACAACATTTTTTTGTACACATGAAAATTTGAACAACAGTACCTCTGTCTCGATATTTGTCTCTCTATCTCTGCCTCTTGCAAAAATCGCTAAACAAACAAATTTTACTGTTAAAAAAAAATTGCCCACCTCATGCTATTTGGTGGGGTGTTAATTATTGCACTTTGCCAGCAACAAGTACGAGTACAGCAACAACATCATGCTCGTACAGTTAAAATGTTTATTTTCCATATTTTCAAACTAAGGCGTGCTTTGTGTAATTTATTTATCATGGCAATTTGTTGTAAATTTAGTTTCGACCAAATTTGGAGCCGCCGCCAAACGACAAGAAAACGACGCCTACGATGTCGCCGTTTGACATTTGGCGATTGAGTATATTTATCATTTGGTTTATGAAAAAATTTTTTCAAATTTATTATTTTTTAAAATTGTATTTGAGCATTTTAGTGCAACCTTGAGTTTGGCAATTGCTTGCGTGTATGATCTTAATAGTCTTACTTGAACAATAGTAATCGCATTGAATAATATATATTTGTGAGCTAATGCTTTAATTAGTTTAATTTGCACTATTTTTAAAAAATGTCTTTAATTAGTTTACT